CTCATTTGAGTCATTTCTACACTGCCAAGTCCGAGCAGCATTTCAAGAACTCCAAAACTTTTCACCTACTCATGAGTTTGAGAAACATAGGTCGAGTGTGGCTTAAAGCAGTCCAAGGATTAAAAGAACACAACTCTAAAGGGATAGTGAAGCCTCCTCAGGCTAGACCCAGATCGGAATCTGACAACTCAGCTCATGTTAGAGGCGTTTCTGGTGTCGTAGAGGCGGCGGAGAAGGGTAACATGGACCAGAGACGACGGATCAGGGAAGCCCAGAAGGCCGAGAATGTCATGCACCTCATTTGTTGGGGACCTAATTAATTAGTCCTTTGTTCTTTTTGTTTTTGGTGTGTTTTTTCCCTTTAATTGTTGTAGATCTTCGTTCCTCCTTAAGTATCTTTCTGAGTTGGTACTTGTTTTGTGGAATACAATATAAGATTTTACTGATTTGATCTTGATTGAAATGATGTGGAATTAGAAAAAAGATAATTGGAATTCAGACACATTGAGCCTCTGTTTATTTTGATGAAAAATATTTTTATTTTTTAAAGTAAAATATTCTTTTATTTTTACTTTTTCGTCGAAATTGAAGTCAAATCCATCAGCAGGGCATGTAAAATAACTTGCAAAAAATTGATGAATAAATTATTTTTGTTACACAGAAAAATAAAAAAATATTTTTTGAAAAATATTTTACTTCCAAACAAAGCCCGAGTTAAATAGCAGTAGGAGGAAAAACAAAAAGGCAGCCAACAATTATCAGCCAAAGAACATCAAAGAATTTCGTTTGTATAATTTCGTTTGGCACAATACTGTTCTTTGTTTTGTTGAAAATAATCCATTTATGTGTATCAAGTAAAATTGAAAATTTTCATGTTGTGTATTCGGTGATACCAATGGATTAAGACTCGAATTCTTAATCTCCTTTTGAGAAGTAGGGACCTGATACTAATGAATTGTCAGTACAACTTAATTATTTTGATAGCAAAAAATTGAGGCCAACAAAATGTTCCCCACATTATGATTCTATGAATTATGCATTCGGATACCTTGTTCTATAATTGTTAGTATATATTCGCCATGAGCGGACTCAACTATGCCATTTACAAATTCATGGCTGATTTTCCCTCCAATTCTGCTTGCTTTGATTTTCTGGACGCGTAATTGTGACCTACGAAGTATTTAATTAGGATCTTTTATTTTTACATGTTAACAAAATGTTTGGCGTATATGGAGCTTCCTTTGTTGTCCATTTACTTTACGAGCAATGACAAGAAAGATATAGTATCTCCAATGTGAACAGTGTAGTCACTTCCAATTAGTGAGAAAGAGGAAACCATTTTTTTTTTTTGGTTTGGTACCAATCCTTCCAGGAAATGATGTTTAAGCACTAAAAACTCTTATGCAATGTTTGGTTGGAAGGAGAATTTGCGTAGATGAATGACAGAGTTGACATCAATTAACAACGGCATGGTGGTGGTAGTCGGGTGCACTAACAGTCGAGTTTATACTTGACCAATTTGTATAGCAAAGAATAAACTTTTTATTAAATTTTTGTAGTAATTTAAATGAATTTTTATTTTATAGAGGTCTTGATAATATTGTCTAGGGAGTAGATATTTTGGGCCCGTTTGGATGGCGGTAACATATAGGCGTTATGGTTTGGTATGATATAAAAATAACCGTTTTGGTATTGGTGTGTTTTTAATATAAATCGGAACCATATTTGGTAACGACTGTTTTGTTTTTGATAATTTGATTTCAAAAACATGAAAACGCGTTTGGTAATATCATGCGTTTTAAGGATTCTGAAAACAAAATACGTTTGGAAAGTTTTTTTTGTTGTCAAAAATTCTGAATCAATAATAGATACATGTTTGGTAAAGATTGTGAATTTCTGAATTATGCTGCTATCAAGTACCAACCGAAGAATGAGATCGCAGTGAACCCAATGAAAGAAATGATTTCGACTAATCAAATAAATACACAAATCATCTACATTATATAAGAATTAAAATAAAAATTAAAAATTAAAAAACAATTCAGTCATAGGTTATATATAAATTATTTCAGTCATAGATCATGTATATTATTAGAAATTAAAAATTATATAGAAATTATATTATTAGATCATCTATTTCAGTCATAGATTAACTTTTCTATACCCCTATATTTTTTCTTATTTGGAGCTCAAACACTCACTTTGTGTAAAAACTTGAATTTAGCATTTTAGTTCTCCTATGGACATTGACTATAAGCCAATTTTATAAATAGAAACTAACATGGTAAATTCTTAAACCAGTTCTTAATTCTATCAATCTTTACTTTGGAATGTAAAAAAATACCACTAGACTATGAATCCACGACCCTTTGTAAATAATTCTATATTCTTTTAACCGAAATAATAACAACAACAACAACAACAATAATAATAATATTATGCACCATAGTTCTATATTCTTGTGGAGCTTGAATTATTAGTGTTTCATCATATGGGCTTTCCAGTCCATTGAATAATAACAATAATAATAATACTAATAATAATAATAATAATAAGTGTTTAATTGGGTAAATAAAAAAAGTGGCTTTAGACGTTTTCATGAAAATACAAGTCAATATTTTTTTATCCCACACAGCACAGAGGAACAAATTCATAATGTATGTGGATTCATTAGAATCTTAAATTGATTTATTAGGGCCGATACAAATGCCTGTAGTCTCCTTTCATAGGAATTGCCTAAAATTTTATTTATTGACTTTGGACAAAAATTATATAAAATCAAAAAAAGAATAGTTTTAAATACCGTAGGACTCAAATCTATTAATTTCAACCCTTTACAAACATAATACAAGAATTGTATGCTTGGGGTACATTGAAACAACCACTAATTGTTATCTATGGTCATTGTTAGCAAAGGCGGACACAGGGTAGGCAAAGGTGGACTGTAGTCCACCCCAATTTTTTTTATTTATTATTTATTTATTTATTTTTTACTATACTAATATATTAGCCTAGCCCAAAAAATAAAAAAAATTAATAGTATTAGTGCACCCCAAAAACCCAATGAAGCCCATGTAAACTCAGCCAGCATATTAAAATAAAGGTCCAAACCAATTCCTTAGTATTCATGTTTAATGTTAGCCTACCCCACCTAAAAATCCTGGATCCGCCCTTGATTGTTAGAATACCAGTTGAGTCATATTTGAGTCCACAATTGCAATATCTTAGACTTTTGGACCTAGTACATACCCCTTATACTATAAGATATATATATATATAGAGTGGGTATATTCCAAGAAAATTGATGGTTTGGCTCATAAAGACAAAAATCATCGAGCTAGGGTTTCAGAGAATAAAGAACTACCTTCGATCTGCTGGCCATCGAGCTAGGGTTTCAGAGAGTAGAGAGAAACAATAGGGAAGCCGAGGCTGAGATGAAATTCGTCTTTGTTTTTCAACGATTTGCAGACCAAAAAGGATTGATTTGTGGTCTACCAACCCCGATCTGGGAGAATAGGGAGAAATAAGAGGCGCAAATGAAATCGCCTCAACCGACCTGTGAGAAGACAGAGAAATGAGTGGCGAAAATGGAAGGAGATAGCTGGTGAAGGAGCTCTGCCAGATCGGTGGTGGAAGAGGTTGTGTATGGAGTTACTTACACAAGGATCGCCACTGAAATCGCCTCCAAGGAGTTGCACGAAGAGAGAGAAAGTGAGGCTGAAAAATGGCAAAAATCTGATATGCGATATTATATATTTGATATCATCGCTACAGTTTAAAAAAAAAAAAAAAACGAGGCTTGATATGGTTTTGTTTTGGACTAATATCACCGCTACAGTGCCATATCACCAAATTGGTGGTACGGGTTTTGGCCCAAATTTCATATATGTTATGCCACTATTCAATATCACATCAGCCCACTCCAAACATGATATTGATCCAAAAACCAAAACCAAAATACCAAAACCAATATCATATCAATATCATACCTCCTTCCAAACAGGCCCTTAGTGTTTAGTGCTAGAGTAATAAGAGCTGTACGTAACGTGCACATGTCAACGAGTGTAATGCACGCATGGTTTTGATTAACTCGGTGCACGATATACCAGATGCATCAAATATCTACTCGTGTTTAGAAAATTGATTCCTTAGGGCTTGTTTGACTAATACTTTTACTTCGTATTTTTTGTTTTTGCTAATGTATTTTAGCAAAACAAAAGTACAAAATATGTTTGGTAACGTTTGTTGTCATTTGAATAGTACGGAAGCGCTTCCAAAATTGAGGCCAAAATCAGAAGCGTTAAAATGATACTTTTATTTGCTTCTGCACAATAGCAAAGCATTGTTCATTTTTTATTTTTATTTTATTATTATTATTATTTTTAAATTAACATTTTTAACTAGTCATTTAATTTTTCAAACTTACAATATTTTTTGTTTTAAAAAATATTACAACAAATTTACGTTACCAAACAGGCTGTGAAACAATATTAAACACACTTTAAAGCGAAAACATTATTTCTGCCTTAGATCAAAACAAAAGCAAGCCTGAAACAATATTAAACATACTTTAAAGCGAAAATATTATTTTGCCTTAGATCAAAATAAAAGTACAAAATAACTGTAGCCGCCGCTTAAACTTTTGCTTCTCAAAGTAAGAGGCGACCACGCAAAATGTACTAATCTTTTTATCCTTACCTCTTCTCGTCTATCCAACTTTTTGCGATGCCGAGTTACACCAGTTGTGAATTTCGGTTTTCAGATTGAACAAGTATACACATTTTTTGAAATGAGAAATTCAATACTAAGGGTTTTATTTAATCCAATGGGCTCAATGAAGTCGTACTATTTCTCAATTGGGCTGGGCTAACATATATCCATATTTCAGGAGGAGTAAGCCCAAACCTAATCCATTATTGAAGTGAACATTCAACCACAACCACGAGAAACAAAAACAAAGATCGAATGCGAGGTCGACCTTAGAATCACACAAACGCACACCACGTATCAGATTTACATTGGTTTCTTGTTTAGATTACGAAGTTTTTGTACACCAGATAAGCTTCCGTTCCGTCTGTTTCCTGCTCTTTCCTTTTCGTTTTTCCGTGTAATTTTCTCTCGCTTCCTAATTTTGTCATCGCCTTCACCATGGAAAACCATTCTTGATTCTGAAATTTTTCTATCGTTTCAATTCTCTCTCTTCTCTTGCTCCTGCTCGAATGGCGGCTGTTACTTCTCTGACTTTCACTACATTAGGTCCATCCTCTGATAGGAAAGTCTCCGTTGCGTCAACTCGTCCGTTTGCTTCCAATTTCGATGGTTTTCCGCTGCGAACGAGCTTCTCTTGCGACAATCTCGGCGTGCGAGCTTCGAAATCTGGTTCTCCTTTGGTTATTCAGTGCGTTTCTACCGTAACAGGTAATATTTTCTACTTCAATTGAGTCGAGTTCTTGTCAATTTATGCTCTGTTTGGTTGCTGAGAAAATATTGGAAGAATGAGGAGAATGAAAACGTCTTAAGCTTAGAACTCGTTTATCACGACTGGGAAGGTAAGATTTCCATTGAACTGACACTATTGAAACAGTAGGCTTAGCTGCTCTTGAACTGAGTGTACAGATTTTTCTTCATATGTTTTTCCTTATCTTTTGATTTCTCCATTTTCTCCGCAACCATACAGAGGGTAGGTGAATTTTCTATGTGAAATGTCGGAATCTACTTATTGGTTCTTATATTTGTAATAATTACCGTTTGAATTTACTGAATTGCTATATCTCATTTCAATTTTATATCATACTTTTTTTCAAGAAAGTTCTGTGATTATTGGTAAAACTTGCACAGTTGGGCATTGTTGTCATTGTGATACTGCCATTCAATCTGATTATTAGATTGTAAGCATTTTCATGAATCCTAATTCGAATTAGTTAAGATATATATATTGAGCAACATACACTGATATTTTTAACACTTCACGAAGCATGATTTGTTTTCTTTAATCAATTTGTTCAATCCTACTAGATTTCATAGACTGTTAATTTGAATTTAGAGGAACATCTTCCATCTACAGCCAAGATGATGAGTTTTGGAGGGATTTGAATTACTTTTCTATTTTATGATTTGCCTTATTTCTTTTCTTTCCAGATGTGCCCGCAGTATCCGAGACAAAATTGAATTTCCTTAAAGCTTATAAGCGACCCATCCCAAGTATCTACAACACTGTGCTGCAGGAGCTAATTGTCCAGCAGCATCTAATGAGGTACAAGAGGACGTACCGGTATGATGCTGTCTTCGCTCTTGGTTTTGTTACTGTTTATGATCAACTCATGGAAGGGTACCCAAGTGATGAGGATCGAGAGGCAATCTTCCAATCATATATTAACGCACTAAAGGAGGACCCAATGCAGTACAGGTCTGTATACGAATTCCTTGACTTCGTATTTATTTTATTATTTTTCAATTGAATTTAACTTGGCAGTTACTTAGTTGTGGAAGTAATTGTTAACTAGACTTGTCATCCACAATTTTGATGACAATTTGCCGCTCTAATTATAGCCTTTTTAACTTTGACTTTCCATTCAATTTTGAATTTCTATGCTGTCACAATGTGGAAAATGGAAAGTAAAAACACACTGCCGATGGTGCTGCTCTTTTGTTAAAAGTTAAAACATGCTGGCTACTAATATTGTGGTACGGCAGTTAAGTTTTGCATTATTGGAGACTGAAGGACCTTTTCAGACTTTGTCAATTTATAATATATATATATATTTTTGATAAGTATCAATTTATAATATTCTTTTATCAATTACCCTATCTTTTGCTCTTCTGATTATGATTATTGAATACAGGAAGAAAGTTGTTGAGAATCTATGATTTAGCCAAAAAAAGAAATTATTATGTATACACCTTAGCCAACCCCAAGTAGTTGCAATCAAAGTTTATTGAACCAAGCATTTTTCATTATGTGTCGTGCTATATCCATTTAAACACATCATATACGCCTCAGCCTTAAAAGCATATATTTGGATTCACTGTAGAATTGATGCAAAAAAGATGGAAGAATGGGCCCGTGCTCAGACTGCCAGTTCATTGGTTGATTTTTCATCTAGAGATGGAGAAGTTGAAGGCATTCTAAAGGATATTGCAGAGAGAGCCGGTGGTAAGGGGAGTTTCAGCTACAGTCGTTTCTTTGCTGTTGGTCTGTTTCGCCTTATTGAGTTGGCAAATGCTACTGAGCCCACCATTTTAGAAAAGGTATGACATCTGGTTTGTTCTATGGTAATATTGAAATTTTCAAGCCAAAAAGTAAGTAAATAACAAAAGATAGAATTACTTTCACTTAACACATTGCTATAAGCATCCATTGTGTCCTGGTTTCTTTACAGTCGTCGTCCAAATGTTTGTTAGGTCCCATTATGCAGGAAGGGAGTTTCAGTAAGTTTTTTTTCCCCATATTCTTGCCTTAGATTCTTCATTATAGTTGTAATCATAAAAGGGTTTATTTAATAAATGACAACTTATATTTGCTATATTACAAAAGTAACCGTATTAAAAAAGAATGAGTGTATGAAGACACTTTAACACAATATATTACAAATACGACAATTTTACACGAGTGATTTCGTAATTGACAGACACCAATACATTTGAGTTCAAATTACCCCTCACCTATAATAATAATTACTTCTTTCTCAAAAATCATCAACCACCACCCACCATTTATCTCCGGCGAACCTCCACCACCGTCGATCCATCAACCGACTGGGAAGCGTAATGTTGACTACGTAGTACAAGATGAAGATGAAGATGAAGTTGGAGGGATCAAATTGGTTATAGAAAGATGAGTTTAATTAGTCGATTCAAATGGAAATTCTCAAGTGCAATTGTTTAGTACACCAACCACCACCAATCACCAATTCTGACCCAGCTCCCACCCACAGCCAGTGACCCAACCATCGTTGACCACCATCCACTACCACATCTTCATGAACCACCGCCACACCTCGACCACCACCCACCAGCGAACCCTTCCTCTCCGGCAAACCACCACCACCACGAACTGTCAAATTTTTTTTATTCATTTTATTATTATTATTATTTTTAGGCTTGTCTACTGTCCAGCAAAATTCATGACCCTAGGGGAAGAAATGTTCTTGGTGGATGCAGAACCTAAGACCCCCAGATTTTGTATGCAAGATGAGCCCCTCGCTGTTTGATTTCTCTATTCCTGAGCCTCATGTCCGAGCACCTCAAGCCTGAGCCCTACAATCGCCAACTTCGCGACGCCTTCAAGGTCTTGAACTCATTTGAGTCTTGAGAACAACCCCCCCCTCCCCCCCCCCCCCCCCCCCCCACACACACACACACAACACACACACACATTACACAACAAAATCTCCATCTCCATTTCATCTCCCACACACACGCAAATCTCCATCTTCATCACATGCGCGCGAGCGCGCACACACACACATATATAAACACACACCACTCACCAACAAATTTCCTATATATATATATATATATATATTCTGAAACCCTAATTTTTATTTCAAAATTCTAATTTCGGTCTCATGGCATTCTTGGGTGGTCTCCCCACAACTATACACTAATCACCCAAACCCCTTCGAATTGTCAATCGGTCTCGCAATCACCAATCTTTGTGGCGGACATAAAATTGGTGATGTGAGAATGAAGAAAAGGGACATATATCTCTGTCTTCATTGGTGGGTGGTGGCAGATTCTATTGTGTCTCAGCTTTTTGGTTACCACACCATCATCAAACGACCCAGATGTTGACGCTATTTAGGAGAGAGAAAAGTAGAGAGAGAGTTGAACATCCGCCAGAATCTGCAGTGGTGGGCAGTGATGTGTTTGCCGCCTGTGGGTTTGGAAAGAGAAAAGTAGAGAGAGAGGGGGTTGAGCACTCGCCGGAATCTACAGTGGTAGGGGGTGTGTTTGCTGTGTTTGCCGTCTGTGGGTTTGGAGAGAGAGAGAGAGAGAGAGAGAGAGAGAGAATAAGAGAGACTGCGAAGGTCAGTTTAGACTAAAAATGTAGATTTACTGTATTGGTAGTTAATTTTTTTTATTGGCTCTTTCATTCACATACTATTTGAATACGGTTGTACTTACCCCAAGGGGTTAGCTCAAGTGTGTAAGAACTTGGCCCTGGTGAAAATACAGTCGTATTTGTAATATAGTAAATATAACTTGTTATATATTAAATTTTCCCATCATAAAAAGTAAAGAAAGTGAATGGAATTGACGAAGATAGAGTTAAAAAGGAAAAGATTGAGCAAGGGCCATTGCACATCAATGGTTTAACTCATCTAATATATGCTTAATGCTATATTACTTCTATACTTTACTTTATTAACTCCAACCTGACAAATATCCAAAGTGAATAACAATTTGTGCTTTTTAGTAAATCTTCATTATCATTTACTTTCCTTTGAATGCAAGGGCCACTGCACATCAATAGTTCAACTCATCTAATAAATGCTTAAGTCTATATTACTTCTATACTTTACTTTATTAACTCCAACCTGACAAATATCCAAAGTGAATAACAATTTGTGCTTTTTAGTAAATCATCATTATCATTTACTTTGCAGTTAAAGTACCCATCACTGTCCAACTATGATCTATGTAATTTTTCCCTTTTATCACATTTTGGATTATGTTTGCTACATTTCCATTTGCATTTCACATGCCAAAATTATATGCTTTTGGGATGATTGATTCCAGATATCTCTGTACTTCTGATATTTGCTTTTATAAGGTTAATTTAGAGGGGTGTCATAGTTTCTTGGGATTCTGTAGTCAATTTGGCATACAATTGCTTGATTTCCTTTCCTACTCGGTCATATTCCCATTCCATTTGTGTGTTTCTATTTGAGGAGTTTGTCCTAATTTAGAAATGAATCACATTTTGGATTTGTTCATTGTGGAAAAATTTAGCATTTCAGCTTAGCCCATAAGGTTAGAAGTTGGCGAGGGAAGAAACTTATGTGTGCATAATATAGAGAATCATGGATGCAACAATAGCTTGGATAAGGGTGTAGCTGTCTGCAGACTAGCTTCTTCTTCTTATTATTTTTATTTTTATTTTTTCCTTTTAAAAATTTGCAGCCTGACATCGTTCCTATTAGTCTTGAAATTCTCTTTAAATGCCAATGTATCTATATTATTATTAATGAGGGAATTGCCGTGGGCTCAATTGATGGAGCGAGTTGTATTTTGAGTAAGGTCAAGTGGTGACATTTGTGTTTTTCAAAAGTTGAATCTTAAACCTGATAAGTTGCAAAATTTCAGGTTAAAGAGGAGGAGTTTCCATCAAGAGGTTGAGGTCCTCTAGAAAGTAAAGATGTGAGGTGGGACCCCATCTTTAGAGCTCTTAATAGAATTCCATATCTTTCTTGTACTCTAGAGGGAACTATATATGTCTACTTTCATTTAGGGAACAAATGTTTACGAGGACAAGGGGTTATAAAGGTGTCCTTTGTAAGAGCGCAATTCATCCTACTTCTGCAGTTCAATATCAACCATAAATAGGAACAGATTCCTATCTTAATCTCTTTTAACTGTCCGTAGGTTCCAGATTTTCTTGCTTTGAAGCAGAGTTCATGCCAAATGGACTTGACTCTTGGTATGTTCGATGATGATTGTTGAACTCACCTGTCTGATCACGAGCTTCAGTGTAGGTCGACTTGGTACCATAGTCTAGTTCACCTGAAGCACTGTGCCATATCAAACTTCAGGAAATGTGGGGAATGGGGATTCAAAGATATATACTGCAATCTCCTGTGTTACCCATGGATCTGTACTGCTGTTTTCTGCATCCATTGCCTTGGGGGAATTATACTGGAACAAATGATTATGTTGGTTCTCTCCTTTGCTTCTTTCCAGGCAGTCCTCTTTGGAGGTACTGCTGCTAGTCTTGTCCATTCAATCCATAATATGAGTAGATATTGGGTGCTCCGTGCACGCCATGTCATTAGTATACCCACCCACCCAATCAATTATAACATATTATCTCGTTATTAGCAATTTTATAAGCAGGTGGGCCAACTTTTTTTGAAATAGTGCATTGTTATTGGGTGGGTATACCAATGACATGGCATGCAAGGCGCACCCAATATCTGCTCCTATAATACATACTAAAGCTTTATTTGGTTCTAACAAACGATTAGCGAGAGGAAAATGAAAGAAGATGTAAACAAAATCCTACACTTGAAACTAGGGCAAAATAAATAAATCCTGCTCTTGAAAATGAGAACTATACAAACAAGAAATTCACTTTCCCTTTTATTATTATATTTTTTTTTGTAGGGATTTTATTTGTTTATTTATTTATTTTCCCAATATGAACTTTTCCTCCCTGTTTTCCCAAATTCTTTCCAATTTTCGAATCTTCCCCGTTTTTTTCTCAAATTTTCCTTTCCTACCAATTTTTTTTTTTTTTAATAAGTAAAAATGTATTAGAAAGTGTTCAAAACGGGGAATGCATCCCGAAAACTACACAGCGGCCAAAGCCAAATAGGACCTAAGAGCTCAAGGAGCCCAAATAATCCTTTCCTACCCATTTTTCACAGCAATGAAACAGGTTGTAATATATTTTTTTAGTTTCTTTAATTTCTCATACTGAATTATAAATCAAACAGATGCTATATATGTATTGAACATTTAGAATTCTTGATTTTCCAGACATGATTGGCTGTACATTATCTTGAATTTTCTCCAATTTGTGTAAAGAGACAAATGAAGGTTTTCTAGACAATCATAATCAATTTTAGAAACATAATGTGAACTTTTTCCTTTTTCCTATTAACCTATGTTTTCATTTAAATGTTGGATTTTTTCTATTTTTCCAAATAGCTGTTATTAATGCAATGCTTGGTTGGAGGGATGGAAGGGGAAATGAGGAAAGAGAGGAAGGATGGAGCATGCTTCCGTTGTTTGGTAAATAGGAGATGGATAGGGAGGGATGGGAGGTGTGGACGGCCTCCTTCTGGACTCCCGGACCCATGAATTTCTACTGTTCAATATTAAAATTGGAGGGGCGTTATTACCCTTATTATAAACACTACCTTATTATAATGAGGGATAATAATAGTAAAGTACTATTCATAGTTTTCCTCCTACCAAAAAGTGGAAGGTGTCACTCCTTTCTTTCCCTACATTCAACCAAACAAAATGAGGATAGGTTACATACCCTTCCCTGGAGATTTCTCTTCCATCCTCCTCCTTTCTCTTCCATCCATGTTTCCATCCCTTCTATGAGATGAACTATAAAGAGGGTGGTGTAGCCTTGTAGGACATTTGAAAGTATGATACTCCCACCAAATGATTCTAGGTAGATGCAATCTTTCAATCCAAACTTGAGCCATATAAATAACCATATTTCTCCGGATTATAGAGTTTATTTTTCCTCATTCTCTCTCTCTATCCATCTCTATTTGAAGCATACGAATAAATACCCTAAATTTATTATGGGTGAACAAAAAGCTTCAAGGAGAAATAGCAATTAAAAATGGACAGAACTGAATAAGAAAATTAAAAACGAAGAACAATGAAGAAGAGATTATCCAGAGACTTGAGACTTGTAACTCTTCACAAGGTTGTCTGCTTAAAGTTTGCAATATGACGAGATGATATGCTCCGGGGCCAATATAAGTGTTTTCCCTCTATTTCCAGAATGATTATTGATCTCAGCCTTTCTTGGAATCGGAAGCAAAGCATACCATGCTCCCTTAACCCAATAGAATTGGAGCAGTCATTGAACTCCACCGTTTCCAATCTAACCAGGATCTTCCAGCAAGAAACTCTTTATGTTCAGCTGGCCGTTGCTGCTATTAGTGGACGGATCTTATGCCCAAATTATATTCCAATAGAAGTAAAGAGAATGCATATTGTTTGGACTTTTGCTACTACTTTTTGTTCCTTTATTTGTAGACTTGGTGGTTGTAGGACTTCTTGTATTGTTTTGATTGAAGAACTTCTGGTCAATAATTTCTACTTTCTTCCTGTGGTTTAATAATTTTTACTCGGTTATTAAATGATCGCTCAGATGAGCTTCAGCAGTGCAATTTCCTGATACACTACCACCTGAATTTTTTTTTTTTTTTCAAATAATGCTAATTAAGTTTTAGATAAAGAAACAAACTTGACCAAAAAAAAAAAAAAAAAAATGAAAGAAAGAAAGATAACGAAAAGAAAATTTTTATTTTTGGCCAAAACTAGTTTTAATTTCGAAGGCGAGGAAGTGGTATGGTTGCATTAGTGTATTGTACTTAGTGGGGTGCGTGGGCCTGGCTCATTTGCTGCGCTTCTTGTATGGTGTTTTACGTTGTGCTTCGATATTATTGCATTGGCATGGTGCTCTTTAATATCACCAAGAGTAAATAGAATTGATTTGAAAAACAATATGGGCACGACTATAATGTTACACGTGATGAAATTGTATGATTTTGTTTTGATATCAATATGCATTTTTTTTTTTCTTAATGATTTTCAATATGAATTCTATCATGTTTATCTATATCCAAAAATATAAGGTGGAGTGAACGCATGACCTCATATGGAATGGATAGTTTGCGAGGCACTATTATATAGTTAGATTCTGATAGGTTTAATACGTCCGTGAGGTGCTCGTTTTGGCTTTATAGCCTTACTCTTGCTCTTTATGAAATGTTTGGGAAGCGAACCCTTGAATTCTGGTTGATTTTTTAAGATAAATTCAGGGCATTCAGGTGCTTTATATCACGAGTCATGCACAATTGAGGTTATCATTTGTGGTATATTTGTCACAGAATTGTCTCCATGGTTGGTTGGAATTTATTCAGTTCCATTATTGACTTGTCTTCTTTGTATATAACAGCTTTGTGCAGCCCTGAACATAAACAAAAGAAGTGTGGATAGGGACCTTGATGTATACCGCAATTTGCTTTCTAAGCTGGTTCAAGCAAAAGAGCTCCTAAAGGAATATGTGGAAAGGTGACTTTAATTTCTCCCTTTCCATATTCAGTTCTATCTCTCATGTGTTTTAAATATTTATTTACTCTTTTCAATTATGGTATGGTAAAGAAGCTAACCGTCGTACCTAAGATTGGACTTTCAACTTTTGAACCAATGCAAATTCATAAGAAAAGAAGAAAGAAAGGGGAGAAAAAAAAAGAAAAAGAAAAAAGAAAAAAGGCAAAGTAGAGAGTCTCTAGATCTGTTTACTTAAACTAAATGGCCAGCGTAATATTTGCATTTCTATTTTCTGCCTTCGGATTTCATGATCATTGAGGTGTTGATGTAACTATAGGTTTGCTTTTCTGGAAGGGCTCCAGATGATATGAGCAAATATTTTTTGCAGAATATATATATATATATAAATCTATATGCAAAGACCCTGCTGACATGTTTTGGCTTTCAGAGAGAAGAAGAAAAGAGAAGAGAGGGCGGTATCTCAGAAGGCAAACGAGGCAGTTGCAAAATTCTCAGGGGATTCCCAATTTGCTGGACGATAGTGCAAAGTGTGATGTCTTTGCAGAGATTAGCGCTGTCAAGCTTCAGTTCCCCGATTACTTGTGTCTTTATAAGGCATAGTTGGAGGGTCTAACGTTCAGGCAGCTTTTATTGGAGTATCGTTTGGCATTTCAATTGTATTGTTTCCAAATATGATGATATAAAAGCACTTGTTTCTCTCTCTCTCTCCCTTTTTTTTTTTCTTTACCCCTTGTAAGAAAATTATATAATGTTTTGTTCAAAATGTATTTTATTGTTAATGCATGCAACCACCAATATGCATAAACAATAGCATTTCAAATGGATTTGATTCTCGTTTTAAAATAACTATGTCTATTTTCTTTTTCCTTTTTGGGTTCATAAATACAAAATGATAGGAGTGTATCTGTTTGCTATTTTGATTAAATTGGATCACCTCAAAACCTTAAGCTGAAGAGAGCAAGAGAATCAAACTAAGCTTCTATAATACGCATACTCGGAATCAGAAGATTGTGCTTCTGTTTGAACTTCTCATTAAATTAATTTCCAGTGGAGCAACGTTACATAATATTATTGGCTTGATCAAATGTCTGATAAAAAAACCCAGAGATGGAGATTAATTCTATGCACTATTTATAAAAATAAAAATATACACAAAACCCCCCAATGTTTTGTAAATTACTACATACGCTTTCAAAATATTTGGCTCACATTTAACTAGTCAAACACAGTCAATCGACTTTTATCATCCAATTCACCTTTAACTTAGGACGCCCACCTTTAGTCTTTCATCAATTAGTATTCAGTTCAATTTGCCTTAAAAAAAGAAAAAGAAATCAAGTGGCCTAATCAATCTTATACAATATATAAGTTCCTCATTTTATATCTACTCCAGATCCCACTATTAGCCTACAACCACTTTCAAATCCTAAATTTACTAATATGCATACATGCAACTAGTTCACAACAAAGCACAAATTTCTGTTGGAACATCAAGCAAACTCATGGTAAAATGCGAGGTAGTAAGAACATTATTTGGGCTCCGTTTGTTTGGATGTAAAGAAAATATTTTTTTATTTTCTGGTGTTTGGTTGTCGTAAAATATTTACGGAAAAAAAATATTAAAATTTAACAAAAATATTTTATCCATAAATTTTCAGCAAATTATTTTACATGCCTGCCCGATGAACTCGACATAAACCTTTGCCAAACACCAACATAGTAAAAATAAAAGAATATTTTACCTGAAAAAGAAAAATATTTTACAAAAAGAATATTTTACGTCGAAACAAACGAGCCTAAGAAGGAAAAAAAAAATCCCAAACTCAGCAATATCATGTTGCTGCTATTCTAAAACTAACAGTTAGCGATGATTAAGCAATTAGAGCTATTATTACTGAAGTTGTGAATGAAATTTAAATGGCAAAAGCCTATACAATATGGAAGCCAAGTAAATGAATGAATTATGTCGACTTAACTAAGATGAGAAATGTCAACCTCATCAGGGACCCTGAACGTGCTTGCAGCACCAAACTTCCTCCTCTCTTCCTCCACGGTGTCTTCATCGTTGTGATCCTCTACATCAGTGGTATTATCAACAGCATGCACGGAGGGATCGCGATCATGCACACTTTTGGATATGCAATCGTGGGTGGCAAGCATCTTGACCTGGCGAAGATGAGAGATTTCTACGACAACAGTGTCATCATCGACTGGGAGAGGTTGTTTCCAGGGTTCCCCATCTATTCTCATAAATGTGTGGTCAGCTGCACCCTTATGAAACTCAAATTGGATTCGACGTGCCTACATTAAAAGAAAAAAATAAAATAAAAATAGAGACAGGATTGGATAAATAAAACTATTTAGATAACATCGATCAACAGGCTAAGAATAATAGTTTGGGCCCAAAACTGACTACTGCCAAGACCTACTTTTTATTTTTCACTGATCAAATCATTTATATTTAACTATTATTTTACCATTGCTTCTAAAATACAAGCCCACAAAAGTCATCACTAAAAAAGCATGTAATTAGTTACTTCGAAATTTTTTGCCTTGAGAGGCAAAATTATAGAAGACAGACATCTTGAATATATTAAATCAGGTTAAGAGTTTAGTTTCATCCCTCACCTGGGCAAGACGAGTCCCGTGACCTTTAGGAGCAAGCAAAACAAGCCCATGCCAAGCATCTCTAAAACCAACAACCTCAATTAGGCCATCGTCTACAAATGGTGGAGTCAGATCTCTCTGTAGGTCATGTTCCAGTAAGTATAATTTCAGAGATGAACAAGCAGAAAAAGAACTCGCAGAACTAGCCAAATTTACTGGAAACTATGTTAGGAATTAATAAATGCATGTACATCCAAATGGCATGTTGGAACGAACCTCATTCTTTTTCTTCTGATTGGGTGTTCCCCAAGGATTGAATCCACCAGAGAAGCTAGGCAAGTTAAGGCATACAATCGACCTGATACTGTAAAATAAAGAGACTAGTGGTTAGTAGAATCACTCGTCTCCATAAGATATCATCTGTATCTGAAGCAGATGCAAGAACAATATGAAATAGCAGGATACTATGTAATTCAATAAAAACATTTCTGTGGAAGATGTTGCCAAGAAAACATCTCTGGAGTAATGGAGAAAAAAAAAATAACATCCATTAATCCTTTCAAGTTTCTTTAGGAAATCACTGAAAATTTAAAATCCACATGATGAAAATAATTTCTTCGTTAGAGAATGGACATTAAACGAATTTTCCTGTTCCACTGCAGTGACAAATGAAATGATCTAGAATGCAGGAACATGTCCACAATGAATAAGATACACATTTTCTAGAATGATCTTGAGGGTAACAGTATTGAAGGGAAAGATCCAAACTAACACGGGTTGAGATAGTAAGAACATATATGACAGCAGGTGGTTTGACTGATGTTATGAGCCTAGAAAGAGAATAATAACAAAACAGGGTTTATGACCCAAATTATGTTAATCATTTTGCCAACAACAATACTTTCTTTAAGTCATATAATTGTAGCAGGCCATAGCCTATTGTCATGGACGCTTAGATGTGTTCTCTCCCACATTAGTGTACTGGGTGGTCTTAGGCTTAATAAATGAGTGCATTGAACACCACAAGCAACTAGTCCTTCTGAGTACAGTATCAGCCCATTATGGTATTCCAATTGTCCCCATGTTTTTTATCCTAAATTAAGGTTCCGTTTGTTTGAACGTAAAATATTTTGTGTGTTTTCTAGTGTTTGGTTGTCCTAAAATATTTAGGAAGAAAAAAAAATATTAAAACCTAACAAAAATAACTTATCCATCAATTTTCGGCAAGTTATTTTAAACGCCCCACTCGATAGACTCGACCTCATCCTTGACCTAGACCTTTGCCAAACACCAAAAAATAAAAATAAAAGAAAATATTTTACCTGAAAAAAGGAAAATATTTGTTGAAACAAACAGAGCCTTCATTACATCTTTCCCAAACTATGACTTTTATCCCCCTTTCTAGTAATAATACAACATCTGCCTGTAGTTCGTTAATTAATGTTTATTTCTGCAGTTCTACTGCATCTTTTGTTTGTCTTTGTCCTTTAGTATAGCTTACATCTAATATTCTTTTATTTCCTTTACCTATTCTCATATCCAGTTTAATTTCTTTTACGGAAGCTAATTGAATTCTCTCTAACCATAGTTTTCATCGTTCATTTGTTTATTTGGCAACACTCGTAACATTCCAAGCTGCTGATTAAGATTATGTTGGACCATCTTCTTGACCCCAACTGATCCAAAAGAGTGCAGGAATAATTGCCTATTTCTAATTTCTAACCATATCTAGATGCTAATGTGGCTTATCAATTCCAATAAAGAAATTAGCTACCAGGTCCATTCCAATTTAATACAGTTTCTGATTGTAGCGCATTGCTTACAGAAAGGAGCATTCTACCTAGCCCAGGCCCACTCTTACTACACATGGATTCTGATGAAGTACATTGCTCATGGGAAGCCTTAGCATTTGCTAAAACATAAATTCATGATTCCTTTTAAAACGGATCAAACTATTTAAAAGGAAAAAAGTTAGAAACATAATTTACATAAATGGCGTTTGCAGAAGCAGAATTTCTTTTTATGAACATTTTATGGAAACATAATATTCTTTCTTTTGAAGAATATACATAAAACGCTTTGTTATTGTTGTTATTGTATAGAAGCATTATAATGATGAAACCTATCCAAGATGGCCAGCAAAACATAGGTGTGTGTATCAACGTTTTGGTACACATGCCAAAAATATTGCAGGAACAATAATAATAAACTTTAAACAGGAATGATCAACAAGAGAACTACACAAAGGGCAATCAATTGACCTGGAAGATATCTGGAGTTCATTCCATTCACCATTTTTCATGACCCTAACCTTCGCAAGTTGAGCTATATTCCTGCATTGAAGTCAAAATATTTTTCAATATCCATCTATGTGGTCAAACACTTCACAAAATTCGGATGAGCGAGCACTTATCCCAAGATGAGAATTACAAAGCACAAATAACTTTATACAACTCAACATTGCAGAGTAGGAAATTTTTTGAAAAGTATTAGCATGAACCATAAAAACCAGTCACGTTGTGCAAATCTAGACTAGGTTTCAGTTGAGACCTATTATAACATAGATTTTTTTAAATAGTTGCTCTAAACTTCAGTTGAGTGGGAGTGGAAGTGGAAGTTTAGACGGAGTACAGAGTAATAGAAAACATCGAATTAATAGAAAATAATGAAATAAACGTTGACCTTCAAAGATATAAGATCAAAAAAATCTAAATAACAACTAGGTCCAACATAGCCATGATAATGAATTCTGAAAAAATTAAAACAAAAGAACTATTTTCCTACAATGTATTTCAAAACCAAACAAAAAAGTATTATGTAAGGTTAGAAAAATATGGATATTATAAAGTAAAAAAATAAATAAAATGGAGACAGATATTTTCCATCAAGCAGTAATGGATAAATACTTATTTTTTTCCCCTTGAAAAAGAGGAATATAAAATTTGCACATAACAAGGAATCCCTTTTTACTCACTTTGAAGAAGGATGAAAAAGAGAAGCACAAAACCATCCTTGTGTGCATCCAAGCTTTGCATAAGTACTCTGACAAAAACAAAGACAATAAGTAGCATCTTTCACTACAAGGACTTCAGAATCTAGAATATGCACAAGACCAAGTTCATATCTATCCAGAATTTTGTGCTTTACAGATCAATGCAAACATATGTACGGTTGGTAAAATTAGTTAAAAGACAGGCTGAATAACTAAATTAATAGGAAAAATGAGAGACAATTAATAGAATCAGTCTGATAGCATATGGTACACACTGACTCTTAAGAAGTGATATGCATGGGTGTCAAAGACTTCCCTAATTGATATAAATGTCAAGAGAATCCCTTCAATGTAACAGTAAGATACTGATACACAAGAAATTATAATTGTGACTCTTTTGATTTTCCATTGATGTTGATTCATAATGCTTACATAGATGTCATTGTAGTATTTTCTTTTCCATTTTTTCACAATTAGACTCTACATCTTTTTGTCTTTGGTGTTTTGCCATGTGTCATCAATTTCATGGGGTAATTGCCATTGAACTCCTTCACTTTCCAACTTGTATTCAAAAAATATATTCTGCTGAACCAATTAATATTAATTTTAGTACAACTTCTCGCCTCTCGAGTAAGACAACAACCAATATAAGGAACTGGCATTTATAGAAAGTAAATGCTAATTTAAGTAAGTTGGCTCAAATCACTTTGACTAAACTAAAAATTTGGTATGATAAAAGACACACTTAGCATTCCACAACATTCTAGTACAAATTACCTTTCAAAAAAAAAAAAAAAAACATTTTATTACAATTTTTAAATAGTGCAATAAATAACAAGTACCTGATTAACCATCTGGTTCTTAAATTTTTCAGGATGCAACTTTCGCTCAGAATGAAATGCATACGATACTTGCGCATCCATTCCTGTAGTTGAGAGGAACCATTGTATTTCATGTTGGAAACCATATGATAGAAAATATAATGATAGTTGCTGAGAGTGTGCAACATCTTCCAAGACAATGAGTGCAACTATGATGACAGATTTAAAATAACAGAAACTACTTTTCCTTATTGTTGCAATACAACTTACAAAGTGGAAGTCAACTAAAGTAAAGGACGAAAAAGGCTTTTCAATTGAAACTTTCATATTCAATACCCAAAATAGAACTATCACATTTCCATTATGTAGCTTTAGTTTGAATATGATGGTTCCTTCAAAAAAAATTTATATTTTGTCTTTGCAACAGTAGAATACTAATTATAGACTCCATCAAATGTGACATTATGTATGACTTGTACTTATAAAAAAAATATTATGAATGAATTGATTGAACTGAGTGCATTACACGGTGTTGTTTTTAGATTAAACAAGAGCTTTCAACGTATAGCTGTAGTGAAAATCAGTTATTTTAATTTGTGTATCCTAATATTCTACAAAGTTTAAAATGTTGGAGCATGTCAACGCCAAATATGTATCATGAGCATCCCTGTTTGAATAGTCAATGCTGAAACAATAGGTAGACGTAAGATCAAAGTGTTTGGTTCCAATTATATATATATATATATATATATATATATATGCAAAAAAAAATTTAAAGAATGAATTTGGTTTTAATTTCTACCAAGAAAACAAAAAACTTAAATGATAAAGAATCTTAAAATGCAACAAGTCTCATTAGTTGTTGCGTGTTCATACTTCTTCACAAAAAGGAGTATCAGTTTTGTTACTCATCTGGTAAAAATACACTTACCCATGCTGAAGTAATTCCAGAATCCCCCACGAAATGTGTGGCAACCTTCCTGAAAATCGTTTAAAAATTTGCTCATAAGATTATGGAGGCATGAGTATCCATTTAAAGAGGAATAATTTCACCACAAAGAGACCAATTCAAACAAATAACGCAATTCTAATACTGTCATTTGAATTGTTAATATGTGTGTGTGTGTGTGTTTATATTATCTATCAGGATCAAATTACACCTGGTGTAAGAATAACTACTCCGATACCCCATGATCACTCTTGGATAATTAACAGAAATCTTCTAAAGGAGCCCAAAGCGGGGTTGCTACCCATGCACATGTGAACTATACAAACTAATGCAAAAAAAAAAGGAAGAAGCAATTGTGTCTCCAGAAAATCTAGCGAAAAATCTCTAGATAAAGAGCGACTCTACAACTACAACAACAACAACAACAACAAAGGAAAAGGAAAGAAAGTCTCAACAAGATCAGCTTCAATTTACTAACACGTATCTCCACTCCTTCAAAACTTCTCATATTCTTCTCAAGCCAGATGCACCATAGGCTAAAGAGGGGCAGTAACGGCCTCTTACAGCTGCCTCTCCAACTTGCCAACATGTCCATCACTGTGCCAAGCATGATCCACGTAACCCAAATACATAGAGAAGAGTATCCCATCAATGTCTTCCCGACTCTTCCATCTAATTGTGTGCACCAACTTTCCACTAATAACACGAATCTCGTGAAGCATTTCTACTGAAGACATCAACAGTTCCATATAAGTCTTTTCCCAGGAAAGAAAGGAATTCTGCATTGACACATCCATCTTAATCCAAAATAGCTTATAAAATCACTCCTTCTAGGCCACCTGTCCACCCCGTAAATCATGCCATATTTCTCCCATCCGCAGCAAAATAGAAAACAAATAAGAAAAAAAATTCCCAACATCCCTTCATGATATTCTACTATAAGCCCACAAAACCTCATACTTCTACACCAAAGTTGGGTTTGTTAACTTCGATGTGATGGAACATCAAACTTAAATAACACTGAAGCAGAAGCACTCTATTTGCTTGATTGCCTTTTCTAAGATCACCCCTTTAAACAAGCCAATGTTGTAAAAGGTCAAATATACAGGGCATGTATTATATCTTGAGAGAATTAAAGGTCAAATAATGTGGGGCATTTAAATCTATATCAATATCACTGCACAGTAAGCAAAATAAGTAACCAACTCTAGAATGATGGAGACCAAATTACTTCACAAAGAGAAGGTATCTAGATGATGATGTCAGGACTAAAAACACATTTAGCCACTTAACATTTGTTCCAAAGAAGATATGTTTTCTTGATTTACTAGCAGCATGGATATGATTTATGAAGATTCTAGTACATGAAGAGTAATAATCAACTGTGTTACCTTGTTGAGTTCATCTGTTGGAGAAACACGATTAAACGCATGCAAAGAATGTGGTAGCTCAAGAGGAGCAATAGGATCGCAGGACCCTTCCTTCGGGGCTTTCATCCTCATGAGAATGTGCCAGCTGGATTGCAATGAACAACATAACCATCAAATTGAGGGGTGGTGGGGGGAAGAGAGAATACATGCTGAAATTGTACATCAAACACTATCCTTCACATATCCAAATATTATAGATTACTGATTAGTATAAATTTCAAGTTCAAATGCCAGGCTGGAAAAGAAATTTCAATGTGAAATAAAATTTCTAATAAGCTCTAGCACCCAAAAAAAAAAGATGCTGTACAAATCCAGTGACAAATACCATAAAAGCAAATTGAGGGATTGGAGCGGCCAAGCCATGCAATAATTTAAAATCATGTAAAGCATTATGGTGGCTATTAAAAATAGTAAAAAGATTTAAATAACCATTCTAAAATCCAATGTCAAATTAAAAAAAAAAAAAAAAAGTGCTTTAACCTCCAGTCTGCATGGAGTGCTGATCAAGGTACACAATACATATGTATATATAAATATTTAATTAATCAGGCACATCCTTGCAGCATCAGCATAGATGTTTGTTTATTAACTCAAAAGGGAGGCCATGTAAACTATGTAACCTGTCTATCCTCATTTCTTTTGCTTCCTTAACTTGAACCAAGAATGACTCAACAGAATGACGATCCGTTCCTGGATTTTTTTTCCCCTACAAATTCAGAAAATTGCAAGTTAACACTTCATATTCAGCACATTACTAAACACACTATCAAATTAAAATTTCATTATCAATGATATAGGATTTTTCCTACCCAACCAAAAGCGAAAGGGAGGTTGTTTCCAGTTCCCAGGGGCACTGTAGCAATTGGTGGAGGATGAGATAATTTGAGATCAGAAACAACTCCAAGAAGCCAGCCGGCTGTGCCGTCCCCACCTGCTACCTAATGAGCTGAGTCCATATCAGAGATGATTATGGGAAAATTGGATATGAAGGTGACGTTCATGATACAGTGAAACTAATAAGCCATATATAGAAAAAATCAGTCCTGTGCACGTCCTTTGTAACTCAACTCACAATTATTCTCAACCTCTCCTGAAATGTAGGAGAAAATTTATCACCATTATCCCTCAGCTTTTCTAGATTGACATACAGTCTATGTAGCACTTTTTCAGGAGCCTCTTCTCCCAAATCAAAAACCTGAAAACGCATTAATTAAATGTCAGGCGGCAAGTGGAAATTCACATTCGTGCAAGTTCAACTAAATCCTGAAACAATATTCTTCACGTGTCTAAACATACTCCACATAGAGTCGAAATACCTGATTGTTGTTTAGAAGACTACGGTATGTAACAAGAAGTTCCCCACCTAACTGACCACCACTCCTAGAGTTGATGAATACTAGCACCGGACATGCTGGTACATCTTTAACATTCTCAACCTCGGCATCAGGTATAAGTATGTAATTAGGTATATAGAAATCATTCAAAATGGGGCCCGAAGCCGAGCTTGAGTTTGCCATCATTGGCTCCAACTGCAAGAATTAATCAAATTCAGATAACTAAATATAACCACAGAAGGTTTTAATCAATGACAAACCAACAGATTTTTTCTATCAAGTAACATACAACATGTGGCACCCAGACGGGGGGAATGACAGTTCCTATGCGGCACTGTTCCCATTCCACAAGTTAAACAAAACATCTCCTCATGTAGCCTTGAAAGCCGAAAACACCCTAACGCAGATTGTCCACTGCATGAATTGGGAATCAGACTCGGGGGAATTCTACAGCTCAGTGCCTTATGGGATCCTAGGAGATATGGTACTTAGTTTAGCAGCTAAAATCTTGGGTTCTTCAAGGCAACCTCTCCTTGAGATTTACCATGACGTAACTTGAGGAGACGGAATGACCATTTTGACTCCCAAACAACCTATGGCATTAGGTCGTTACTTTATCCCATTAATTAATTAACCTTGTCGCGCTAAATAATTACTTTGACCATCATAATGACTTTGTACATTACATATCTAATATTTTTCACGTGACTCATCTCATGAAGCCATTTTTCATAATCACAATTGTTCTCCCCTCACATCAGCCTAACATCCACAAACTCCACTGCAGAGGTTGAAGGGGTTGAGAGGATAGACCAGAGATAGAGAAGAACTGGCCTCTAGATTTTCTCCTACTCACTTCATTTTAAGTGGAATCTCCACCTCACCTTGAGAATCCACCTTAACTTCACCTAAAAAAGATTTCACCTCAGCTCAAGATTCCACCTCAACTTCACCTTGAGATCTTACCTGTGCTGTGATCTCGAGGTCTTCACTGCTAGACTACCTGGATCTCAGGGTCACCCAGACAACTAAACAACTAGGACCTCAAGGTCATCTAAACATCTAAATATCTAGACCTCCCTACACTTTACTAAATGGACCTTGGGTAAAACCTTGGCTTCGTGGAGTCTTTAATAATCTCTACACTCTCTCTCTCCCTCTCCACCCGTCACATGTCAGTTTTGACTCCCACCTAGTCAAGTCCACCTGAGATCTCTATTATGTTGCACGTAACACATCCATAACCCTAAACATCACAAGTCTTGAACACACACCAGGCATCTGGAAATCATGTGCAGAGTGGAAAAACTAAGTTCCATTAAATTGCAAAGATGGATGCATTACTTTTCAATGCCAAATACACTGATCACAAAATGATGATAATAACAAATTAACAAGTTCAAATTGGGGTTTGCAATTCTATTTACTAAACAAATGAAACACACACACACACGCACACACACAAAAAGCTGCAATCTGACTCTTGCCATTTACTCAGCTGTGGACTATTGCCTTCAATCATTAGTTTTTGAAGTAGTTGATGAGGTTTCAGTCTATTCGAATCTTGAGAAAGATATTATTCAGCAGTGGACTGCAAGAAACCTCCGAGCGCAATAAAGTAGAAGTTAAAAACAATAATGATGTTGAAGGAAAAAGTTGAAGGGTGTGGCTTAATCAACAAGAAGAAGGAAGACTTTGTACAAACACCAACCCTACAAACCCTCCTACTGTCCAGAAGTATGCCTATATATGACATAATTTCAAATTACAGGTCCCTCAACCAAGAAGCAGATCTATGTACGTGTCTGTGTATGTGTTGGTAAGTATTCTGTCAAGTTGTACAATCCATTCAATGAATCTGAAGTAATGGTATTCCGTATTCATATGAATTGTGAATCAAATCCAGTAAATGAATTGAAAGCAAAATGCATAAAATTGAGACAAAAACGCCTGCAGTGTATCATAACCCGCAGCAGTAATTAGAAAATCAAGTTTATCAAAGACACTGCCACAGAATTCTTGAAGCTCAATGGAGCGTATTTATAATAATTAGCAAATTATCAAGAACCAAAGAAATGATGTACACACACAGAGAGAGAAATGGAGTGTGATTCCACTATTACATATAGACATACATGTCAATAAATTGGAAAAGAATTCATTAGAAGCAACTCGGGATCAGGGCATTGCGATTGCAGGCAATTCGGGAACCAAAAACAACGAATTCTTAAGAAATTTCATCGAAGATGAAAAAATTACCTGGAAAATTCAATCCAAAAGAGGAGTGATATGAACAGGGAAGAGTTTATTGATTGAATTGAGATCTAGAAATGACAGAGCGCGAGAAAGAAACGCGTTGGGTTACTAAGACGTCGGAGGAGTATCTGGTAGGTTGACTGGTTCCGAGAGAGAGATATATATATAGGGAAAGGCAACGAGAGGTCGTTACGTAACGTGTGTATATATAATTATATACATATATATATGTATATAGAGAGAGGAAATAACATGGCTGCTTCCATTGGCGTCCTTTTGTTGGGGGTTTTCATGTGGGACTTGTGCGATAATTCTTCCCGGCCTTCAAGAGAGAGAGAAGAAATGTAGAGAGAGAGTTTTTAATCCGGCCGCGTGGAATCTGCCTGGATGATTGAGTGGGCCCTGACAACATTATAATATATTATTGACTATTTTGAGATTCGACCTTTTTTAAAATATTCTACATTTTATTACAAAGGTTGAGAAGTTCGCCATTTCAATGTTTTAATCACGAGTCCAATTCGAGTTTTTAAACCTTAGGTTTAGTTTTGAATTGGAATTACTAATATTTTATTAATAATATGATTATTGGCAATGATATTAGTCCATTTGGAAGTGTCTTCCCAATTATTCAATACTTTTATCCAAAACGGATCAAATTTAAGTGGATTGGAAATTTCCACTCAGATTCTATCTAATCAACAAAAACGAGGCCTCAACCTTTTTTAAAATTGGGTTGAGCTTAATTGAATAAGAGTTTGACACGGTTAATGCATCTGGAATAAAAAAAAAAAAAGAAAAAGATTTAAACCTATTTGAATACTGAATTGAGCTTAAATTGAATAAGAGTTGAACATTGAAATTCCATTTGTTAAATTATTTTTGACATATAACATTTACTAATTTTATTCCTAATATATTTTCAACAAATAGATAGACCATTTTAGTGTGTTATTTAAGGTTCCATATTGGAAAGTGACAGTAAAAGCAATTGAAATTAGAATATGAATCATTAGACTATTGGACAACGTGAAAATTTAATTCCCTGTGTTAGAACAAGAGTTTTGGAATCACTTACCCAAGAATAAAACAAGAGTTTTGGAAGATAATTAAACTGTTATTAGAATCTTACTTTTTTAGGATTAACGCTTCTAGGACTTGGATAAATTGGTAAAGTAACGACTTAAGTACTCACATGTCTCAAGTTCGAACCCGTTTACCTCCATTATAAATCCTAAATATAAATAAAATGACAAATGAACTCCTTAAATAAATAATGTGAATCCCAAGAGAAATCATTTTTCCAATAGCTCCAACAAGAGGCAACTCTATCATGTGACATATAATGGTCTAATAAGTAAATGGACAACCATTTTTACTATTATAATGATGACACTTCAGATTTTAATTCTACACAAACTCAAATTCTTTCTCCAAACAATGGATCCAAAACCACTTTTATTTTTATTATATTTTTTAGGAAAAAAATATACACCACTAACTTACCACAAAATGCAATGCTTTGTGATTTACAAAACTCACCAACTAACATTCCAACTATACCATATAAACCAAAGCAAAGACAACACCAAAAGCAAAGCAATTGGGACATGTTTACCTTTGCTTATACATCATATTTATCCATTCTTTTCCACATTTATCCCTTTTGATATCAGCTACAGAGGAAGCCTAAGGAGAACCAAATAGTTGGAATCAAAAGCATCCATTTTTAGCTCAGCATATAGAATGGTAGTGTAACTCTTCTTAGTCCGCCTAATAGTTGGAATCAATAGCATTCAATAATTAAAGTCTAACTACTTCATTGTCTTCTTCCTCTTTTTTCAACGATGGTAATGTTGAGTCTTTTAGGACACCCAGTAATGCAATACCAAGTACATGCAATCTTTCCCTTGACATACACCAAGCAATTATTCGAAATTTTTTTTGGGAATGATCTCAAGAGAATTCAAACTTCCTGCTTCTAAAATGAGTCTTTACTTTAAGCTATTCGAATATTTGTTCTATGACCTTTAAATGGCCTATTATTGATCATAAAATACTAAGCGAACTACATAACACATCATAAAATTTAGCATGAACAAGGAAGCGTTCATAGTTCTTTATCTTACCGGTTGCTGCTTAGTTCGATTGAGTCCTAGGAAAGCCGACCACATTTTAACAGCAACATCAAAAACGGCCCCTTCTTTAGTGAAACGTTGTATGAATTTTGTGGTTGTCACGTGTTAAATTGTTCAAAACAAGATGTTTATAAGTGGACCCATTTAATAGTTTGAAGAAGTTAAAGGGGTTCCTTCACTCTTGATTTAGTGTCATTGTTACTTGAACTTTGAGAGATTAATTTCATGATTTTTCTTTTTCTTTTTTAAATTTAAATTGCCTATTTAATGGCCCGTTACTTCTATTTGCTTTAATGTTTTGATTTCAAATGGAGGGAGATAATTACCTGTTTAATGCCTCCATTTACAGTACCATAACCTGTTCAATGCACAATTATGGACAAGCATCTTTTTTCAGTAATATTTTAATTTTAAATGCACCATTACCTGTTTAATGCTCCATTTTTAATTTTTTCCAGTGAATGAACCTCTTCTGTCAGATTGTGGCTTTAATGGGCAATCAAAGCTTGGATGATATATTTATAATTCTCTTATCGAGCCACAAATAACAATTTGAGAACCATGTTATTTCTTTATATATATATATGAAAATTTGTATATAAATGCCCCCTAAAATTATTTTAATTTCTAAAGTTATCTCTTTTAACTCTTTTTTTTTTTAAAAAAAAAAAAAGAAAAATAAATAAAGGTTTCTTTAACAATAATACTTTCAAGGATTTATGTATAAACATGGACGATAAAAGGACTAAATATTCAGTTTCTTTTTCTAGTTGTACCTCTGTTCAGGTGTTTCGTTTAATAATAATATATTCATTTTCCCCATTCAAAATTTAATAATGAGATCTCCAATGATGATCAGGTGCATCGTTCACACAAATTAATTGTTTCCATTTCATATTATGATAAAAACACCTCTGACTTCATTTGTCTTTCTCGAAACACCTTCAAACTCATCATTAAGATATCATATTATTGAATCATTTGGATTTTTTTTTTTTTTGAATCAATTACCTTTTCTAGTAGTAAACCCATCAGGGTTGTTTGGGCCTCCCAAAGTTAATTCTTGATTTAAACTATATTAGTCAGCTGAGAATGATTACAGTCAGGACTTCAAAGGCTAGCCTGCAACAACTCTCCCTTTGATCCGAGTGCATCTGATTGAGAGTATGGTGAGTATTAGTGGAGCTCCATCCAAGTGCATCTGATTGAGAGTATGGTGAGTAATAGGGACAATCTTGCTTTATAAATCCTAGATTACTGTCCTTTCAATTTGTAACTTAGAGTGAGTCGAGAAGTTGTTGCGCAGTCACTACTACAAATAACACAATTCTTAAAAAAAAAAAAAAAAAAAAAAAAAGATGATGAAGTCCAAGAGAAATCATTTTCCCAATGGCTCCAACAAGTAGCAACTCTATCATGTGACACATAATGGTCCAATAAGTAAATGGACAACCATTGTTACTATCATAATGATGACACTTTAGATTTTAATTCTACAGAAACCCAAATTCTTTCTCCAAGCAACGATCCAAAACCACTTTTATTTTTATTTTTTTATTTAGAAAAAAAATATACACCACTAACTTACCACAAAATGCAATGCTTTGTGATTGATAAAACTCACCAACTAACATTCCAAGTATACCATATAAACCAAAGCAATGACAACACCAGAAGCAAAGCAATTGAGACATGTTTACCTTTGCTTATACATCATATTTGTCCATTCTTTTCCACATTTATCCCTTTTGATATCAGCTACAGAGGAAGCCTAAGTAGAACCAAATAGTTGGAATCAAAAGCATCCATTTTTAGCTCAGCATATAGAATGGTAGTGTAACTCTTCTTAGTCCACCTAATAGTTGGAATCAATAGCATTCAATATTTAAAGTCTAACGACTCCATTGTCTTCTTTCTCATGGTGATGTTGAGTCTCTTAAAACACTCTTTAATGCAACACTAGGTATATGCAATCCTTCCTTTGACATGCACCAATCAATTATTCGGAAAATTCTTTAGGAATGACTTCAAGAGAATTCAAACTCCCTACTTTTAAGATGTGAGGACGTGAGGAACGAGTCTTTACTATTAAGCTATTCAAATTTTTGTTCTATGACCTTCAAATGGCCTATTCTTGATCATAAAATACTAAGAGAACTGCGGAACACATTATAAAATTCAACATGAAACAAGGAAGCATTCGTAATTTTTTTATCTTACCGGTTGCTGCTTAGCTCGATTGAGTCCTAGGAAAGCCAACCACATTTTAACAGCAACATAAAAAAAAGATAATTACCTGTTCAATTCACAATTATGGACAAGCATCTTTTTTTCAGTAATATTTTGATTTTAAATGCACCATTACCTGTTTAATGCTCCATTTTTACAGTGAATGAGCCTCTTCTGTCAGATTGTGGCTTTAATGGGCAATCAAAGCTTGGATGATATATTTCTAATTCTCTTATCGAGCCACAAATAACAATTTGCGAACCATGTTATTTCTTTATATATATATATGAAAATTTGTATATAAATGCCCCCTAAAATTATTTTAATTTCTAAAGTTATCTCTATTTTTTTAAAAAAAAAAAAAAAAGAATAAGAAAAATAAATAAAGGGTGCTTTAATAATAATTATTTCAAGGATTTATGTATAAACATGGACGGTAAAAGGACTAAATATTCAGTGTTTTTTTTATATTTTAGTTGTACATCTTTTCACGTGTTTCGTTTAATAATAATATATTCATTTTCCCCATTCAAAATTCAATAATGAGATCTCCAATGATGATTAGGTACTTCGTTCACACATATTAATTGTTTCCATTTTATATTATGATAGAAACACCTCCTACTCCATTTGTCTTTTTCGAAACACCTTCAAGCTTGTCATTAAGATATCATATTATTGAATCATTTAGTTTTTATTTATTTATTTTTTTGAATCAATTTCCTTTTACAGTAGTAAACCCATCAGGTTGTTTGGGCCTCCCAAAGTTAATTCTTGATTTAAACTATATTAGTAAGCTGAGAATGATTACAGTCAGGACTTCAAAGGCTTGCTTGCAACAACTCTCCTCTTGATCCAAGTGCATCTGATTGAGAGTATGGCGAGTAATACGGACAATCTTGCTTTATCCAACATTTGGATGTTAGTTGGGCAATACTAGGGAGGTGGAGTGATTCTCTATTTCGTGAGTTATGG